AAAAAAAAAAAAAAAAAAAAAAAAAAAAAAAAAAAAAATTCCCTTAGTTATTCTTAGAAATTTTCAAGGTTTTCTTAGGAATCCTGAGTATATCTGAGTTTAAAATCTTGAATTAATGTTCTTTCTGCAAACAGCCTTCCACTCTATTCTCTCTTGGTCAGAAGTGCAGAGAGTATGAAGGCACTTCAAAAAGTTCATGAAAAAAATATAATTAAAAGATAATCAGATGGCCAGCTGCTAAAATAATAACAATAATACAAATCTTTCCATGAACTTTTTGAAGTAAACTTGAATGTTGCATCTCTATAAATAGATGGGATAATAAGCAATCTTGGTACTGTGGCTCAGAAAGTTTTCAAGTAAGAGACAAAATTAACCTCACACATTTTGAAGTGACAACAAATTAAACTACTTGTTTACTCAAAACAGAGCCATACCACATAACATATTTATATCTAATCACAGTAATAAAGGAAGATTTAATTATTGTTTTTAATTGGTAATCTAATTCAGGTTAACACTTTTAAAAAAGTAAATATTATTTTAAAAACAACCACAATGAAACATAATAGCTGTATTGTCAGCGACATCTGAATTAATCCTCAGTGTCTGTAAATGCATATTATCAAGTTTTGCTCATCTAGCTTAGTTGGTGAAGGAGTCCTGTAATAGAAACGAATAATGAGATGTTTCTGAGCAGTTTATACCTAAACTATTAAAGAATATGCAACAGCTTAGAAAAAATATAAAATATCCTTTCAGTAAGTAATTAAAAACATTCAATAGTCTCTCAGTCATGGAAAAATGAAAATAGCTATAGAAATGAAAAGTCACTTATAATTAATTCCATTTAAATGGAAATTATTTTGTACTCTAATACACCAATTACATCACTACCTCTTTGTAAATTTGAATACCTGTAGAGTTTTAGCTTCACTTCAAATACACATCTTAACCTTTCTTGCCTTAATAGAAACTAAAACAATAAAAACAGTTACTAATCAAGGTATTTTGAATCTACCTTAACCATTTTGTTTGCATATAAATTCCCATATATCACTTCAGTTTGAAGATTGGACTAAATGAGGTATGTGTATGTGTGTGTAAAAGTAATATGTTCTCACATAAAAAAGACAGTCAGGGAACCTAAGGATTTTACTGTTAGAACAATCCGTAGGGATTTAGTGCTTATATGGTCACCTTAGGAATAAGGAAACCAGGACCAAAAAGCTGTGATGATCTCAGTGAGAGAGGGCTGGGCTGAGAAAATTCTATAAATTTTATACTAGCATTCTTTTTTATTATTAAGTGCTGATGACCTAATTTATTTATACCTGTATTTATTTTTGTTCAAAAAATAGTTAAGGTAGCTAACAAAATGCACACACTAGGACTGTAGTGAATATTTGTTGTTTGGGGGCACCTGTACTCCACTTGTCCTTTTTTCTTGTAACAAATCCTGACTGCCTTTTGGGGAACAACTGCACCTTCACTGTGAACAGCTTTGGCAAAACTACCACTCAGGATGACTGCTCTGCCTCTAGCAAGGATGGCACTCAGTACCCCCACTAGGTGAGTCAGACCCCTTTCTCCTCAGGCACTGAAGCTTGAGTGGCTTGTCTCAAAGACAAAAGAATGGTTGGTGCTCATTTGTTACGGCTGTAGTGCTCCAACAAGACAGTTGATCACTTTTGCCACCTGCATCACTGGAGCTGCTATGGCCCCTTTCTGACACTGGTACTTCTTCAGCTGTCCCTTCCACTTGGTGAGCTACCCCATAATTTTCCAGTAATGTTTCTTTAGGCTTAAGTTAGCCAGAATCCATTTCTGTCCTGTAACAACATACACACACACTTTAATTGATAAAAGTACCTTGGGGGAAAAAAATATTCAGAGCAAATAGAAAATTAGGATTTTAGAAAATAAGAGAAAGTCATAATGATAATGATAGCTAACCTTTATGGAGCATTTACTATTTATGCCAGTCACAGCTCCAAATACTTCAGATGTCTCACTCATTAAATCCTAATAAAGAAACACTTAGGAAGGAAGATACTTTTGTGATCCCCACTTTACAGAAGGCTCAGAGGAACCAGTAATGTGTTCCAGATCACGTCAAGTATGTGGTGCAGCCGGGAGTTGCACTCAGGCTAGCTGAGTCCAGAGACCACATTCTTAACGCTGTCTCCAGATAGGTAAGAATGAGAATTTAAAAAATCACATGCGACAAAGACCACTGCACTTGCTAGGAATGAGAAAACTATGCTTTAAAATTAACATCTCTAAGTCCCCAAACCACCTTATCAGTAGGTACTCTCACTAATTCCATTGGGATTAGAAAACTAAAGCACAAAGGGAAAAAAAAAAAAAAAAAAAAAAAAAAAAAAAAACCTGCCTAAGTTTACATGGCTGGTAAGTTTTAGAGCTAGAACATAACCCCATGACACACTGTGGTGTTTCCAAAATCTATACTGTTGGCAGTTCTGTGAAAGCCTGAAGGGGTCATTACTACATGTGTGCAGTTGTTTAGCTCAATACAAAATTCAGTTTTAGACCGCTGAAATCGATGGTCTATATTTCCTCAAGACAATCCTCCATGAATTTACACACCATAAATTTAAGGTACTTTGAAGGACAATCAGATTACATTGCTGGTTAAATTCAGAACTATGTGCCTGCCTGAAGACTCTTTGAAACTAGGAATAGCGATAATAAATCTAATAAGGAATGTGTAGAAAAGCCACCCCACCACCAAATAAAAGTAGCAAAAGGAAGGCACAAGGTGATCCTGAGACATGCTGCTACAGAAAGCAAGGAAATGCACAAGGACTAAGGAGGCATGTCAAAAAAACCTACAGGCCAGCTTAAACAGGCTCCCACTGGCCAAACTGGGGACAGTTGGAGCACAGACAGTAACAAGTGCAAGTGATAATACATTGTGTGAAAAACTCCCTGAATACATAGTGATATTTTTTATGCTAAATATTTTTATTAGTTTTATCAGAAAAACTTGTATCTACAGATGATTTCTGAGGCATAATTTTATTAGAGCCAGAGATCATTTCTTCCAGAAAAACAAATCTCTAAGATTAAAATGGAAGACAATGAAACAAGAGATTTCTCTTTATAATCTGCCTTTATCCAGCTATCCCAGAGCACATCAATTTCTTTGAGAATTACTTTGACACTATATAATAAGTTATTAATGGA